AAACTCAGCAGCATTATCAAGTCTAATAGACTTAATTGGATTATCGGGAAATTGTGCCTGTAATCGAATTATTTGTGCCATTAATTTTGCAAACGCGAGGTTGCAAGATGACAATAGGCACACATGGGACCATCTAGAAGATGCGTCTATTAAGACCATAAAATATCTAAATGACCCACTAGGTGGGTGAATAGGTCCACAAATGTCCCCTTGTATACATTCCAAAAACGCAGGGGACTCAATTCCAACCTTTGTTGGTGATGGTCTAATAATTAACTTGCCTTGATAACAAGAAGTGCAAGAAAATTCATCATTTAAAAGAATCTTTAAATTCTTTAATGGATGCCCATTTGAGTTTTCTATAATTCGTCTCATCATAATTGATCCAGGGTGTCCCAATCGATCATGCCAAAGTACAAAAGTATTGGAATCAATAACCTTTTGGTTTACAATAGAATGTGCCTCAATTGCACTAATTCTTGTCCAATACAGGCCACAAGATAAAGATGGGAACTTCTCAATAGCCCTTTTCTGGCCAGAGACATTTTTGGTAATAATGAGATATTCAAGATTATTCTCATCTATTGTCTCAATATGATATCCATTTCGGCGGATATCTTTAAAACTCAACAAGTTCCTCTTGGACTTGGAGGAGAACATTGCATTCTCTATAATAAGTATTGCTCCCTTAGGCAGAGTTATAGTAGCTCTTCCAGAGCCTTCAATTAATTTACTACTACCAGAAATTGTAGTAACATCTGCCTTACACATACTTAAATGAGAGAAATATTTCTTCTCTTTGAATATTGTATGTGTCGTACATGAATCAATTAAATAAATATTTTTACAATTGAACTTTGATCCAAGTTTGCTTTGTGAGATATCCATATTTGCTTTCCATTATTTGACATACAAAAGAAATATACGAATAAATATTAGTATTTTCAGAGATAAAGGAAAAGAAACAAAGTTGATTTAAAAGCTTTAGCACTGTAAGACACATTTTCGTTTGCAAAGTTTTCAAATAGGTAAATCAATAAACACTCTAGTTGTCAGTTGACACTTTAATTTTTATTCCTCTATAGAAGAAGCAAATTTTTGTGTGAATATAACTCTATGTAATTAAGCCAAGAAACAGATCTCGTGTTCCTGACGTATTAATTAAACTGCAACATGTCATTTCTTAAAATTCTAAGTTTATCTCGTTGTCAAAAATCCACGGAAATGGAATTTGATTACTTGCATATATTTTATGAAGAGTTAAAGAACTTGACTACTCTATGTTTTTGCTATGAGATAATTTTCTTGTAATTTTTTTTTCACGATTCTTAACTCCTAACATAAATTACTCTTACATAAATTACAATTGATACTGACTATAAAATTTGATCATTCTCAAATTTTATTCACTGATAGATTATACTAATTAAAAACGACTATTCATATAAACTAGGATAATTACATGATATTTATTCACTAACTAATACGAATAAGCAAAATAAAATAAAATCAAACTACTCAATCTTCTTTAACCACAGATCTATCACCGATCAAGTGGTCTATTTTTCCATCAGGGCGCTCAAAGAAGTCTGCCACATCTAAGTGGGTGATGTCAACTTCATTGTCATAGACAAAATTAGCTTCAGGGCCTTTATTCTTTAGAGATGCTTGATAAAGCTCAACCAAATGTCTTGGTACACGACAAATATTTGCCCAATGCCCTTTTCCACCGCAACGATAGCATTCAGTTTCTGGACCATTTGCTTTTGGCTTCTCATCTTTCCCTTTCCACTTTTGGTGGTTATTTCTCTTTGGGGGATGATTAACACCAGGAAAATTTCTTCCTTGTCTACGGCCACGACCACGGTTACGACCATGATCACGATCACGACTACGAATAGAGTCACGACTTTTTCCACGCTTAGCATAATGGGAATACACCTCATCCACTTCAGGCAATGGTGTAGACCCAGTGGGTCGATTTTTTCTCATGAGCAAGTCATTGTTTCGCTCAGTCACAAGAAGAAGAGAAATCAGCTCAGAGTACTTCTTGAAACCTTTCTCTCTGTACTGCTGTTGCAGAACCATATTGGAGGCATGAAACGTTGTGAACGTTTTTTCAAGCATATCATAATTAGTGATAGTATCTCCACAGAGTTTCAATTTAGAAGTAATTCTGAACAACGCAGAATTATATTCAGAAACAGACTTAATGTCTTGGAGCCTCAAATGAGCCCAATCATATCGTGCTTGTGGAAGAGTGACCAACTTTAAGTTGTCATATCTTTCTTTTAAGCCATTCCACAAAATAAGTGGATCTTTGACTGTGAGATATTCAATTTTCAACCCTTCATCAAGGTGATGGCGCAAGAAAATCAAGGCCTTAGCACAGTCTTGGGTGGATGCTTTATTTCTGTCTTTAATGGCGTCTCCAAGACCCATGGCATCTAAATGGATTTCAGCATCCAACACCCATGTCATATAGTTCTTGCCCGAAATTTCAAGGGCAACGAACTTTCTTTTCATAATGTCAGTCATAATTAAAAAGAGGAGAAAAATTACCTTAATCTTCTCAAAGAGCTTCTTGAGACGGTAGAGTCTCGTGCTGAGAATGTGTTATGAAACAATAAAAGAATAACAACAATATTGCAGAGAAAGAGAGAGAGGAAATTCTTATTGAATTTTGGGATGAATTACAATGGAATAGAACCCTCTATTTATAGGGAGATAGTGACTTAGACACCAAGTAATAAACCCTAGAATCTCTCTAAATATGTACATTCACCATAAATAGGATTCTATTTATAACACTTTTCATATTAATTTTAATAGAGTAGTGGCTATTTTTGCTCAACATTAGAATTGTTGGATAAAAAATAAATATCACTTAGTGGCTACCCCACACCATTTCTACTAAAGTGGACTGAAGGGAGTATATGAGATAATATCCAATGGGTAGAGTATTGAACTTAGTACTATTGACATATGGATAATGAATTAAATATAAAGTATAAAAATTTTGAATTTTCGGATATCCAAAATTCGAAGTACCAAATCCAATATCCATTCCAAAATCCAAAAAATTTAAAAATTGAATCGAAAATCCAATCCGTAATTCGAAAATCCAAACCAAAAATCCAAAAAATTCGGATTTCGAGTTTGCCCAAACTATGCCACCCCTAATATGAATAATCGGACCGATATATATTCATTAATATGTTTAATCCCCTTACCAGAAGATTTACCTTCATTTAATCTCGTCATTTTGCTATGGGTATTTTTGGTAAGAAGAAAAGTCAAAACTTCTTCTGCTTCTGAAGAGAAGCTACTTTTTTGTGCTTCTCAAAAAGTACTTCTCCTTCTTCCCAAAAGTACTTTTTTTCCCCTTAAGCTTGGCCAAACACTTCAAGTTCAGAAAAGGGCACTTTTGGACCAGGAAGAAGCTTGGCCAAACAGGATATAAATATAAGCAATGAGAATTCATATAGCCAATCACAACTTGTGAATTGGGATTGAAACGTAATTGTTATTGTTTGCTCTCTACTTTATTGACAAAAGAAATGTTCTCTTATATCAGAATCTAATATTTGTGTTGGAGTAAATTGCATATATATCACCCTTTAAGGTAGGTCTTTTGTGAACACTGTGTGAACGCGAAATACTTCGTAAATATGGCTGTCTGTACGAGAGTCGATGCTTGTTAGTTTAAAGAAAAAGAAGCTTATAGCGGGAAAAGGAAATGAAAATGCGTAGAATTTTTTTTAGGTTCCAACCAATGAAAATCAGACAAAACAAACAAGCCAGTGAAACAAAAGGGAGGCATGAAATGAAGTCTTCGCAAACGAATTTTCCATGTGAGTACAAAATTGTGAATTTTGAAATTTATAAGAAAAAAGTCTAATACAAACATATGAACATTTGATCCATGATAGAAATCAGATTAGAAGCCAGTATTCTTATGGATAAAAGAAACATCAAGTATAGCTTCAATTTAGATCTAAATCCAAGTTTGGACCAAAGCCAAACCCACAATTGATCTTACAGTACAATTCCTCTTATCCCCAGACCTCACAAGTTTGGACCACGTCTAGCAATGACCTTGTACTAGTTGCTAGGCACTGTCCAAGCCAATATAAAAGTTGTTCAAATAATGGGGAAAAAAGATACGACGACTTAAATGACCAAAAATCTAAAACAGAATATCCAAAAGTTTTGCTTGGTCGTTGACACTCGACCTCCTTATCGAGTCATGAAAAGAATGTACCCTTTATATAATGCATGGGCTGATCACGTATTGGCAATAAGATCCCTGTTTCTTAATTAAGATTAAGACGAAATGAAATGTTGAGTATAATAGTAGTAGGAACAAGAAGACCTCAATATTATGATAGAAATTTAACATATATATATATATATATATATACAACAACAACAGCCCAGTGTGGTCCCACAAGTGGGGTGTAGGGAGGGTAGGATGTACGCAGCCTTACCCCTACCCTGGAAGGGCAGAGAGACTGTTTCCGATAGACCCTCGGCCCTCGGCTAAAGAATATATATATATATATATATATATATATATATATATTATTGATGATGGTGTAATTAAAAAAAAGTTTACGCTAACAGTGTAATTTAATATGTTCCAGCTGGTTGTCTGCCATCTGCTAACCTTTCATCATGTTGCAATTCCTAAGCATCATTTCTTCGGTGTCCAATTTTTCCCATAATTGTATTGCCTTAGTTCAAAGACAACAAAGCTTCGACATATAATAATTTTCAATGCATAAGAAATGAGGTTGAACTACTTCATTCAACTATATGTGCTGCTAAGTATATACCAAGGCACCATGTTTTGCATATCTTTTGGGACAAAGTTTTGTTGGTATGGCCTACAAAATCAGCAACAACAACAAATGCAGACCTTACCCTTATTCTGGGAGAGCAAGATGAAAAGAAGCGGTGGCAACAAGTGATAGCAAAAACAAAATATTAACAATGTATGGCCTATAGAATACTCTTCAAATTTCAAACCAATAGTTACACTAGAAAATATAAGAAACGACATCTAAAAAGGAAACTCATTTCAGTGTTGGAAGAAAAAGAAATGACAGGATGAACAAATAAATACCCAGTACAGATAAAAAAGAAATGATCAAAAATTAAAGAGCAAAAAAGCCGACACCTGAAAGGAACCAGTAATGTTCTTAGCTTGGCTGTCTCATTTGTCTGGATTCTGATGAAATGAATCCTTAATTCATATCTCACCTTCTTCTATTTCTTCCATTTCTTCTTTCCCATTTCCATTTTCGCTCTCACCATTTCCATGTTATCTTTTTCACTATTCCCTTTTGTTTCCTTCAGTTAGGTTGACAGTACCCAAATGATCATCAACAGTATCATTTCCTTGAATTACAAAGTCAATACTATTATTTCCATCATTTAACTGTTCCCTCGTGATTTCTTTTGTTCTCTTGACCGTACTACATTTATGCATATTCTCCCACTTCTCTTTACATCTTCTGGCACTTCTCTGAAATCCCAATGAAGCCATTGAGTTACTTATCTCTTCCCAAAGTACCCCTTTTGAACCTGCAGCCTCTTGAAACTTAGATTCCAAGCAATTTCTTATCTGAATTAAGGCCTCAACTTCAGCTTGTGGCCATCTCTTGTTATTCAACTTTGCCAAGCTACTACAACTCTTATCTTCATTCTTGATTGGTAATTCTGATCCATGTTGAAAATTGATCTTTTGACCAGTGAGTTTTTCTAAGTAAGAAACAAGAGCAGCTTCTCTATTTGAAGCCAATGTTCTTTCTTGAGCTCTGACAGCTGCTTCTTTTTGAAGCTTTGCTAATTCTTGCTCCCTCCAAGTTTCTTCTCTCTCTTTTCTTTCTTGATCCAATCGCTCAATCGTTTCCATAAACCTCTTTTGAAGATCTTCTTGATGGTTCACGAGTTTCTTTACTAAGGATTCGAAAAATCTTGCCATTGTAATACTTGTTCCTTCTTTTGCATTTCTCCTTCTCTTCCTTTTATTATGAACTTCATCTTCCCTTGTTGCTTCTCCAACTGATGCACTTTCTGATCCAATATCAATTGCACCAGGAGTTGTTGTAGCAATGGCAGTGGGCCCACTGGTTTGATTAGAATCGTTGAAAGTTGCCACAGGAAAAGAGACATTATTGTTATTATTAATTGGCAAATCTTCAGCAGTGAGAACAGATTCAGATGCAATTCGATGAATATTAGTAGTATTGGTGTTGTCAGCATTTGTAGCATAAATGGCTTCTAACTCACCAAATACTACTCTACATTTATTTTCTTCTAAGCTCTTAATAATTTGCTGCTGATGGATTTCTTCAGGATACATTTCTTGATCCTCTTCATGTTTGTTCTTTTCACTTTCATTGCTGTTGTTATTATTCCCATTTGAAAATTCCGCACAAAGAGGCTTCCTATACAAACCCAAAAAACGAGGAAAAGAAAAAATAAATAAAAGAAATACATTAATAGTGGACCAAAATCTAAGTATAAATAATTCAAATAAAGAGAGTAGTAGGGTCATTAATAGGGGTGTACGGTAAAAGAGTAATTATAATAATTTTACATGTGATTGAGTGCACATAAAATTACCAGAAAGGTTGTTTAATAGCAGAATCTTCTTGGTTTTGCCAACAATGAGACACAGCTAGAGAAGTTTGTCGAGCCTCGTTGCTGTATCCCTCACTCCCACGAATCAAAGCATCTTCTTCTCTTTCTCCTTTACTACTACTATCTTCCTTGAAACTTAAAGGAAAAAATGGGACTGAAACACCTTGAACTTGATGATTTTCGCCTTCTGCGTTGAGCTCTAGCCTTATATCTTGATGTTGTTGTTGTTCTAAAATGGATCTGTAATGGAGATGTTGGTATTGGAAAAACTGTTGAGTAAAAGGTTGAAGAAGAGGATTTGGTTGTTGAGGAGGGTAGTGATGATTATAGTTTATTGGAAAAAATGGTGAAGAAGTTGAAGCATTTTCCATTATAAATCTATGCTGTTGCTGCTGCTGCTGCTCCACTTGTGGCTGTTGGTTTCTGTTTCTCTGATGATGGATCCCAGCCATTTCATAATCTGATTGCATAGCCTCCCTTTTCTTCAGATTTGTTCTTTTTCGTTGAACCAAAACAGATCCTACTAGAGAGAGAAACAAACAAACACACACACACACAAAAAAACTACTGTACTCTGCTCTACGATTTATGATGTATTTATGATGTGTAGAAACTAACACAAACGCATCCCTTCTGTTCAAGTTTATAGGTTTTTTTTTAGTGTTTTTGAGTGTACGAAGTGATTAACAAGAAACCCTAATAAGAAGGTGAAAGATAGAGGAGTTTGAGAGATGGAGGAAACTTTGATAGAGAGAGAGAGAGAAATGTAGATACTAGATAGATATGCTGCTTCTACTTCCCAAGCAGGAACTGCGGCTAAAGAAGTGTTATGGGCCGGGTTACTGGGTTTTATCCATGACCCGTTTAATTATAGTGTACCTCTATTATTTCTTTTTTGGTATTTGTAGTTGTACTATTTTGTTAATATAGTGTTTTTTGCAGAGTAATTTATTTATGGCGATGCTGAATTCAGCCTCGTTATATGATTCCCAAAATCCAAAGTCCCAGCTATTTCTAGGCTCTATATTTCTTAGCTTTAATCATATGGTAATGATTTAAATTCAATAGAATGGCTCAACAAGATTGTCACGTTTTTCTAAAAGAAGAATTATTTTTACCAAAGTGTAGTGTTAATTAATGATAAATCATAAATTTCCTTTTCTTTTCCTTTTTTGACATAGGCATTGATCGGAGCAAAATAATTTGTCGCTTTACGTTTTGAGAAAGTAGAAGCTGTTTTTAACCAATAATAAATAATGTTGATGCCAAATTCACATTCTCTTTTCTTTTTGATTATTAGGGATCAGCTTGATGACTTGACTTAGTTGACTGACTGAGGACGAATAACTAGAAATGAAAGGGATAGATTTGTTATTAAAAGACATCTTAGAATTAATTATGAGGACCCTCACTGTTAGATTTATTTTTACTTGTATATTAGTGTTTTCTATTTTTGCTGCAGTAAAATATGTTGATTTTCCCCTTAGCCTCAGTTAAATTATACTACTAGTCCACCACTTAACCTAAACAAATGGTTACATAAGGCAGTTAGTCAAGATTGTATATTTCTAAGTACAATAGAACACAATTTTTTGACGTATCATTTGCTTTCCAAGATTACGCCAATTATTCTTCATACAAACCATGGATTTTACATTAATTTTTTTTTAATGATTTCATCTTGCGTAAATCACATAATTAACTCCATTATAATGTTTTTCTAATTTCAATAGTAGAAAATTTAATTAGATAGAAGTAGCATCACTTGAGATCTGAAGATGTATTTTGCAATTTGAATGATAATTCCTTAACCGTTAAGTTGTTCGCTTGTGACACCCGAAAGGATTATCGAGCGACGAATATAATTTCTTTATTCTAATTAAAGGTTTTGCATTCGAGCTTTGGTTGATAATGACAAATAACTGTCCAAACGCGACCATTTACGTGTGGACGGTATTTTAAAAGTCGGAAGGGCATACCGACCAAAGTTGGTCGGAAATTACCGACCAACTTTGGTCGGTCAATTAAATTCAAAAAAGAAAACATTGCCGAAAAAATCAACCAAAGTTGGTCGGTATTTTAATTAGTAACTAAAAAATGCACCAATCTAAGAATCGAACCGAAAAAACCAACTAAAAGTTGATCCGTTTTTTAAAATGACTGGCCGAATTGGTCGATTTTTTTATATTAATTTTAATTTATTTTAAATGAAAAACCGACCAAAGTTGGTCGGTTTCTTGAAAAATAAATTTTACGGGACTCAAAAATAATTTTCCGCATTTTTGCGCCAAAGAAAACCGTTCAAGGTTGGTCGGTTTCATAAAAAAAAATTTTAAAAAAAAATTTTAAAAAACTGACCAACTTTGACCGGTTGTTTGATCGACCAAAATTGATCGGTAGACCTTGGTATTTTTACTAAATTTCTAGTAGTGATAGTGGGTTCAAGTAAAGAGGAGATGCCATTCCAAAGCAAAGATTGGGATTTTAATAAAAACAAGGGAACGATAACTGGTGGGTGCAGAAGATCTGAGGTGCACTCCCATTGGAGGAAACAGAAGAGTACAAGGGGACACGTGTGGGAGAAGGCTGCTGGCACAGAGAGACAGAGATAGATGTATGTGTAATTGCACTGTGCTGACTTTAGCAAGTGAGGGTGTGGGGGTCGGGGAGGGGGGGTCGGGTGTGTGTAGGGACATTCTGATATTAGGATTTTGGAAGGATACAATTGAAGAAGTGCACGTGAATGTATTACTGTGTGCTATTGTCCTCCTCCTATGTCAGATGTAGTGTCCCCCCCACCCCCTCGTATTCCATCCCCATCCTTCCCCTTCATTAATTTCTGTGTCCTGAGCATCACCAAGGACCATATGAACTATGTATCATGCATCGATATCATTATTTTGAATTCTGCTTCTTTCAAAGGGATCAATAAATAACTTGTTATTGCATATAGAATAAAGTTTCAAATTCAACTCCCTCCCTCCTGAATATTTATCATTTTGACAAAAAAAAAAAAGAAAAAAATACAGATGAATAACTCTGTTGGGTTTTTTGAGCTCGGTTTAGCTTAAAAAAGGACAAATAAAAAATTGAGGGAAAATGAAATATTTGAGTTTACTCCTTGACAAAGGGACATTATCCTATATTGGAAGAAGAAAAGGCTTTTGATGGGTATATATATATATATATATATATATATATATATATATATATATATATATATATATATTTGCTCTTCTTCTAGCTCTTAAAGAGTTAAGAAGAAGGCAAGCCTCGCGCCGTCATCGTCGTTGTGGATTTGGATTCGGATTCGGATTTGGTCAAAGATTGATTGATTAATCTTTTTGGACAAAATTTCTTTAATTTTTTAATAAATTATCAATTAAATTAGCCAAATATCTAGCCTGGACCTGATCCATGCGCGACCCAATTCATTTTCTTCCCGGAATTTTATTTACATTTCCCTCCCTTTTTAAGTGGCTGTTCCATCAGAAACAGTACTTCCATTGGCTATAAATTCGTTTGATTCCTCAGTTTTTTCCTTACGAATTTTCTGAACTTCAACACTTCTTCTTCTTCTGCACAAATCTATTCTAGTGTGATTTACTGCCATTGAGTGGTTCGCTGACACCGTAGTTTTTGGTACCACCTGTGAGTTAAATCGTTCTATCCTGGGAGGATAATATTCCAACACCTCGGGCACTTGAGGGGAATAATTTTCTTAAGGACACATTGTGCATTCAGTGGCTCGATTTATTCAGAAATTATTTTCAGATATTATTTCGACATTCTGCTGCTACTAACTTTCAATTTCTGTTTCTATTTCAGAAAGATTACCGTTTTATTATTTATTACAAGTAATACATATTGACTAACAATCTTAAGGAAACTATTTTATTCGTAATCTGTATTCTATTTTTGGAGATTAAACCTGTGTGATTTTCTACTCCTTCTGAATTTCTCTATTCTGATTTGAAGATATAAAAACTTCATCGGAGCATTAAAATTCAGAAACAATTTGAAGAACATAAAAACTTCATCGTTTTCTATGAAATAATATATAAAAACTTCGGTTTTATTTATTAAACGTATTGTTTATCATTTATTACAATACTGTTTACTGTTCTATTTTTTGCCATTAATTGAACTCTTCTGTTGTTGACAGTAAGAAATGGCAATTGATAATGGAAATCCTTCTGCGACTGTTGCGGCAATGACGACAGCCTCGTCAAGCGAACTGTTGTTCCACCGGCCGAGAAACCGGGGAAGTTTTCTAGAGCAAACTTCAAAGGATGGTAGCAAAGGGTGTTCTTCTGTCTTACAAAACTTGGTATGCAGAAATTCACCAGTGAAGATCCTCCAGTGCCTGCCGCGGACATGTCGGACAAAGAGAAATTTATGATTGTTGAGGCGTGGAAACATGTAGATTTTCTTTGCAAAGGCTATATCCTAAGTTCTTTGGAGGATGACTTGTACAATGTCTACAGTGCTATGAATACTTCGAAAGAATTATGGGATGCACTTGAGAAGAAGTACAAGACTGAAGATGCATGCTTGAAGAAGTTTGCGGTTGCCAAGTTTCTAGACTATAAAATGATAGACAATAAAACTATTGGAACCCAAGTTCAGGAGCTTCAACTTATTTTTCACGATCTAATTGCTGAAGGTATGGTTGTGAATAAAGCATTTCAAGTGGCTGCAATGATTGAAAAATTGCCTCCTTCGTGGAGAGATTTCAAAAACTATCTTAAGCACAAGCGCAAGGAAATGAAGTTGGAAGATCTTGCGATTCGTCTCAAGATTGAGGAAGATAACAAAACAGCCGAGAAGAAGTCTCGTGGAAATTCAACGATTATGGGAGCTAATATCATTGAGAAGACTACTCCAAAAAGTAAGAAGAAGAAGAGGTTTTTTGGACAGACTAAGGAGCAGAACAAAAAGAAATTCAAGGGCAACTGCTACAATTATGAAAAAACAGGTCACAAAGCCCCTGATTGTCATCTACCGAAAAAGGATAAGAAAAAGGGACAAGCCAACATAGTAGAGAAGAATGATGACATTGATGATTTGTGTGCAATGCTTTCGGAATGCAACCTAGTTGGAAATCCGAAGGAGAGGTGGATTGACGCTGGAGCCAATCGACATGTTTGTGCTGTCAAAGAAGCATTTGCGACTTACTCTACTGCTGGTCCCTAAGAAGAGCTTTCCATGGGAAATACTGCAACAACCAAGATTGAAGATTATGGGAAGATATTCCTGAAGATGACTTCCGGCAAGGTGTTAACGCTCAACAACATTCTTCATGTTCTTACTATTAGGAAGAATTTAGTTTCTACTTCTTTACTTGTTAAGAATGAATTCAAATTTGTATTTGTATCTGACAAAGTTGTTGTAAGCAAGAATGAAATGTATGTTGGAAAGGGCTACCTCACAGAGGGCCTTTTCAAACCCAATGTAATGGTTGCTGACAGTACGAATAAAATTTCAGTTTCTTCTTATTTTGTTGGCCCTTGATAGGAAGCTGTGGAGGTCGAGTATTAGGGTTGTAGGTTAGGAGGTAGTTGAGTCTTCCCTTACTTCGTACCTTTGTGAGGCTAGTCTGGTAGGGTTTTTGCCGAAGTTAGTTAGTGGCAATATTGCATCTTACTACTCTTTCATTTTCTAAGTGCCGGGTCTATGTATTGTTTTTGCTTTGCATCTACATTTTCATTCTCATAATGTTATTTTCTTATGATTTCTATTGGTGGTACTGATATTATCTCTTTCTGTCTTCTTGAGCTCTTGGTCTTTCGGAAACAAC